CAAATTTTGTTGGAGACATCCGCTCGAGCTGAAATTTTACGTGTGATCAGGCATTGTCATAAATCTTTTTCCTGGAAGGAGTTATTATTATGTACGTTTAGATGATACAACCGGTAGGATACTTTTGCACGTTACTGTATATAGACATAATCCTATATTACTCCTGTTATGATTTATATTTACCACATTCTGGTTTAATAAAGTGAACTTTAAATTTAACAAGTCTGTAAATTATGAATGCACCATTATTACCTTTCAAAACGTCATCAGTCACTGGTCAATTTTACAGCCACATCATAATCGCCTCCCATTTATAAAATGTTCACGTTGTCTGGTTTTGTTGCAGTCTGCCCCATTTAACTGTTTTACTCTCCAAGGCCAATAATCTCCCTCTTTATTTTTAAACTTGCATTAAGCGTCGAACTTGTAGTTCAGACTAAGAGCACTTAACTCACTCGTCCTATCTACCAACAAAAGTACTTTTCAGCTATGATATCAATTATTTTTCTAATTCAGGCTCATTAGGAAATACCCGCCAGCAACACAATATAAAGTTTTACTTGAAAACACGTGACATCTTGACAATGTTAAGCCGTGCTTCGAAGGCATAATAATAAATTACAAATCACACATATATAAATAAATGTATCAGTGCCAGCTTTATTGTTATAGAAATCTATTGTTTCTGCTTTAGCATCTACTAAAGGACGAAAGTTCCAAGAAATAGGTTGTTCTGAATTGGATCGGAATAAGTTGCATGTTAATACATAGGCACTCTCGATAAGTCGGACTCGTCGGGGGCGGAGATTTTATCCGACTTATCGAGAGATCCGACTTATCGAATTTCATAATTTTTAAATAAAAAATCCCCCCCCTTTTTATTTAATAAGCAATAATAATAATGCATTTCGCTTTCTTCCAATTTGATGTTTTATTCTCGAGATTACTGTCCGCTTTTATATCAAATATATTTTGATGCTATCCAAAACAACTGTATTGCTTATGGTTTCTTCTCCCACATCTCTTCTTGTCTGCAGCAAAATGACGAAAAAATTATTGGATAATTGATTATATTGTATTTACTAAAACGGTAAAGATTATCTCTCAAAAATCATGTGGTCAGACTTATCGAGAGTCGTTTGAATAAGCCGATTGTCCGACTTACAGGTTTATCGCGATTTTATATGTGTATCGAATAGTCGAAATCAAGGGGCGAAAAAATTTTGTCCGAGTTAAGCCAAATCCGGCTTATCGAGCGAGTGTCCGACTTATCGAGAGTGCCTATTACTATATGAAACATGCACAAGTATAACAACCAAACGCCGGATCACTCCGAAATGTTCTTTGAACAACGTTCCATACCATAATAAGCATCACGACCTATCGCAAACTTGGTAAAGTAATGCCGCTTAATGACGTATTCTGTATACGATGTACAAAATAAGCACACAGGCGAGCAATGGCATGGGAGTATGATAATCAAAAAAAGGCGACTCGAAAGTTCGAAACGACTAACAATATGGAACGGGCTTGTCCGAAACAATACGTTCCGAAATTGTCCGACATTCGTCATCAGTTAAATTCCATGCTATACTAATACTAATAGGGTAACGATGATGACAAATACACCTCGGGAAAATAGATAAATAGTGAGGGGCAGGGGCATAGAAACACTAGCGAAAAGTAAACTTGTAAAAATTAAACAATGTCTATTGCAGCACGAGAGTTTGTTGAGGTATGAGGACTGGTGTCTACGATGGATTTCGGTTGCTCGTTATGTGATGTTGTATTAGGACATACTTTACCATTTCACCTTAGTTTCTCGAAATAGTTAATATACCAACTTTTCCTCTTTCAATCTTAAAAAGAGAAAAATTGCAGAGAACGCCGTAATCTTGTTTGTCAAGAATTGGTGTCCATATTGCAAGAAGGCCGAGGCAACGATCAAGAATCTTGTGGATCAATACGAAAAAATTGATTTAGTGAAGATGGCTGAAGGAGAGCGTGAGTGATTTGTGATTTGTGTAATACACGACGAGTAATGCCGCGATTTGCTCACGCATGAGCTTTTTCTTTAGCTGCTGGATCCGATATTCAAGAATATTTGTATACAAAGACACAACAATCCACTGTTCCTAATATTTTTATTAGACAACAGCATATTGGAGGTAACTATTGAAACGACTGGGATTAACTCCTTATTCCTAATTGATCTTATTATGACATGCTGACTCGTCTTCTCTGTGACTAATGCTTAAACCTTTTAGGTAACGACAGGCTTCAAGAGCTCGTAGCCAATAAATCTATTCGGCAATACCTCGAAAAACTCTAATTCTTATGTTAGAAGAATTCAAAAAGAATATGTATTAATTTAATCTTGTTAGGTGAAATTGAATAAACAAGCTGTAATAGGGACACATAAGAACCGAACACTCAAGGAAAGACATTTTTATATTAAAACTATCGCATCAAGTTTACCAGTTAGAAAAAAAAGGGTGTTAAGCAAGAAATCAGAAGCAAGTAGTCCTTTCAGAAACCATGGAGTTTGATTATCTTTTTGTCAATTCCTTCCGATGCAAGGAAGCCCTGAACTTTGAGACGCTGGTCTCCTTGAAGTTGGATTACTTGACCAAGTTCTTCATCTTGCACGAGCGTGCCATTACAGGCAAACTCCTATATTAAAAAAAAAAAAGTTGGGTGCAAGACGTGAATATTGTTGATAAAGACATACTTCTGATGAACATCCAAGCATAAAGGCGATCCGCTCAGACGCACATCTTTTAGTAAAGCGTAACCCAAACCGACCGTATGTACGCATCCCATATATATATTACTTACTTTCTTGAATGCTTTCAGCAGCCTCCTCTGATCATATTCAGCTGGAATACCTTGTACAGTAGTTAGAGTTTTTCTGCCGTTCCTTTGTTGTATACGAATATCTGTTTAACCAACGTTGCTTTGGGTTAAGAACGACAAGAGATGTTCATGCACTGAAACTACGATACGATATTAGCAGTCGTAAGTGTAGAGCTGGGGGGGAAAGGATACGAATATACCCAGAGGGTTGTCCTTCGTCTTCACCGGTGTCAGCGAAAGGGTCTGAAAATGATCGTAGGAAAAGTCAGTTTGCTTTTTCTTTCAGATGAACGCAGTTCCGTAGTCACAATGTGCTACTTTTTTCTCTCACGCCGCTGGTACTATATTACACGCTAGAGACCCTAACCCCCCTCTTCTCCCTCTCTTTTGTCCTCGCCATATTAGTACTTACCGTAGGTCTTAAGATTTTCGATTGACATAAAACACTAACGTTTCTTAATAAATGCTAAGAAAAAGATATACTGGACAGAGAAAGTTGCGCAAAGAGAAAACTGCTACGGTACGGAAATTCTTTTTAGAAGGGAAAACAGAAAACGTTCACAGGGAAAATATCAAAGGTAAAAAAAAAAAGGGTTGTCAAAAAAAAAAATTTAATATTAAGGTTTTTGTTAATAAACGAAGAAAATTTAGGGGAGGGTGTATTTGTCGGCGGAATAATGCGGCTGTTGTGGTGTATTTGTCATGCAATAGTAAATTGTCGTTTGGCGTAGTCATTGATCCGCATGAATCGATTGGAATGTAAGGGTCTTTTTGTGTAATGAGAAGCCCAATGGGATATACTAATACGGTTTACACCCTCACCCAACGGGACCAAATTTATTTCACATTAATAATGTGAAGTAAACTGAACCAAGGATGTGCACGAATGAGAAACAGTCTCGGAGCGCACATAGATGTCATTGTGCCAAAGCAGAAGTCCTATGACCAACAATTATCAAAGACTTGGAGTGGGGATCAGGAATGTCTAAAACAGTAAAATCAATTATTAAAACATGAAACATTTCTTACAAAGAAGGATGAGGAATAAAGTTTTAACGTACAGTGCATTGTATGCTTGCATTATAAATATAAATATTCATTACTACTTTGGTAATAGCAATAGTGTCTTTAACCGATTGTTTGTTCTCAGTTAATTGTTATTTCACGTTCTGAGAGAATACGTATTCCTTGTCATTGGCCATCAAATATCTTACATCTCAGATTAGCAACCATAATAATAAGGCCTGTCATTGGTTCCTTGTCATTCATAGCTAAATCACTTGTGTGCATTCCAATTTGTGAGACAAATTTTTATGAATCATTCCGGCGTCTGCTTGTTATAAAAGGAACGGTAAATAATAGTAGTATCAACAACGTTAATCATTATTATTACAACATAGAAAACATGACTGGAAATCAAGAATGTAGCGTTATAGAAGGAAGTGGAAGCCCAAAATTAGACGTCACCATAGCTGGCCTACGGGATCAGATCGAAGAGTTGCATGAGATCATAGCAGGTAAACACTTACGGTTGCGAATATAGCGTGTGAGAACTAGCATACAAGTGTAAATTTCTTTAGAAAGCCGTTTTTTGTATGTATGCCATGCAATGCTTGTCAACTTTGTTGTCGAAATTGTGCACTACCAACAAACATTACTGCTTTCTACATTTCTGCTGTCTGCTTAACGTTTTTCCGACTTTTACCATTTATTACTTAAACACTTTTACTGACTCCTGCTAATATTATAGGCATAAATGCCAAGCCCATTTCGCCAAAACCCTTGGCAAAACCACCATCATTATCATTGTTCGTGTCTGAGGACGTGTCCAAACTTCACTACCGCATCGCTCATCTTCTCCGTGCGCTAAATACCAAAGATGAAGAAATCCGGCAACTCAAGTCTCGACTCGAAACACAATCACCCTCATATTCACATTCACATTCGCGTTCACAATCACAGTCACATCCGCACTCAATACCACTACCGCCATCACGACCGCCATCACAACCGCCATCATCACTCGAAGATCATCACACGACAGATTTAAGCCCCGTGGACTGTGAGCAAGACTTGGAATAACCAGGACACTAAGAACTGCAAAATCGCTATAGTAGGATTGGCGAAGTTGGTTAAAAAAATTCTTGTTGATATTTTCAGTCATGAAGAAAATAATTAAATAATATTATAATCGTTACAATTATTTAGTGTTAATTTAATCGTGCTTAATTATTATTATTGGAGGGGAAGTGTTCGATTAGTCTGAGAATTGCTATACGTTTTCAATGACCCAATTTGTCGAACCTGTTGCACAAGTGAAGCGCATTAAGCTGGAAAGGTGATAATAATAACACCTTTCCCATCTCCCCTCTCCAATGCTCAATCGTTATATATTCGATATTAAAGATTTCTTGTCTAATAACCGTGAACTTTTAGTCGGTGATCTATTTATTTGTTTTTGTTATTGGAAATTAATGGTTTATGTCTATATTCGCTCTGCATAACCACCCATGTTTTTTTGATTGTTACAGATGTGACATTTAGATACTAGGATATTAGAAATTAATGTAGAAAGGAAAGTTGATCGGAGAGAGATGTATATCGAGAAAGAATGTGAACAAGACGAAGATGGGGCAAAAGTGTGAAGATGAAGAGAGAAGCATGATAGTATCGGTAGTCAAGAAATGGTATAAACTACATAATATACATCCCCATCAGGTAAATAAAATGAGAGAAAAAGTGAAATAAATAAAGTCCGTGTGGAACATATTTTAGATTCACTAGACTAGTCTTCTCTGGCCACCATTGCTACTGTTGTTTCCGCTGCTACCGCTGTTACCATTGTTACCGTTGCTGCTATTGTTGCTATTTCCCTGGCTTGGTTTGATAACGTAGAGATACACCAAGAGCGCACCAATTGCCAAGATAATGAGTAGGATGAGGAAACAGCACCATTTTTTCTATAAAAAAATTTTTTTGCCAGAGTAAATACGGAAATTAATAAAAGAATTTTTTTGTTGTTGTTGACCAAACTTCGAATAAATTCAACGTATTAACAGCTTACCCTTCTTGCTGACTTGGCATGTTCAAGAGCTTTTCCCACATGCTCCACACCCGAACTGAGGTTTTGTTCAACATCGTTTGCATGTTGTTCAATCTGGTCTATTTGGGTATCCTGTACCTCGACCATTAGCTGCATTTCCTCAAATAGATTTGCCAATTCCTAATGACAGAGAATGGTATGAGTTCAAGCATGAAACAAACAAATTGCAGAGAATTCACGCATACCGCCATATTTTCTGACGTCTTGCAATACGATGTTCACCCCCCCTTTATATGGATGAAATTTCTTACCTCAATAGTCTTTTCAATCTTCTTTATATCATCATGACGCTGTTGTACTTCCTTTAATGCTTCTCGAGCTGCACCCTGTCTTGTTGATTGCATTAACTGTATATTTGAAAACGAAATTTTTTAGTATAGAACTTTGAGGACATGATATAATATCAGTAGTAATGCAAAAACATGGCTACCGATTGAGCGAAGATCTGTGTTCCTTCATCGTTGTCTAATGCGGCGTCAATTTCATCTTGTGTTGCGCCAGGCTTGACTAAAAGTTTGTGAAAGGAAATTTTGTTAGTTTCCAAATATTTAGAATATTAGCAGACAAAAAAATTCGATATTTGGAATGCGCATTCTCATACCAATTTTATACTGTCGTTCTAATCTCTGTCTGTATCTCTGCCGATTTTGGTATTCTATTTGTTGGTAATTTGTTAAAGCTTCCATAAACTTTTTGCGCAAAGCTTCCGTCTGCCAAGTCAGGAAAATGTATTAGTAAGATACTGTAATACAATCCAACCAAAATTGATAGTTGTTTTAATAACAACAGTTTTAAAATGTTTCTTAGTCCTCTTTATAATGCTACGCAGGATTCCCACCATTTTTTCATTGCTTACCTGTGCTCTGCGCACATTAATATCACCAGTATTAGGCGGTAATTTTGCATTCATCCTTTCCAAAGCCTTGATTCGATCCTTCACTTGATTTGCCAGAGTTCTCGTATCAGCTATCATAGCATCGAGCTGTCGCTTAGTTGCTTCATCCTCTGCAATAGTTCCCAATGAGCGAGAATGAAGCTCCGAAATCTGGTCAACGTTGGTTTTCATTTTTTTGATTGCATCTTGAATGGAAGAGATCTGAAAAACAAAAGAGTGTGAGCAAAGATTTCGGTGTATATTGTGATAATCATGCTTATGAATCCTTTTGTTTGGTTACGCGTAAAAAATGCATTTGATAAACTCCCAAGATAATGATGAAATGGCAAATATACACTCATCATTTGCTTGTCGTTTTATTCAATTCCGGTCTGTTTCCTCTCCCAACCCCTTCCCCTATCAATGTTAATATCTTTACCTCCTCAAAGAACGAAGTAACGTCGTTAGAACTTTTTGTCACAGTAGTCATCTCAACATCCTGTTGAGCATACCCTTGGCCTTGATTCGAGTAACCACCATATTGTTGTGAATTATATTGTGGTGGATTGTATTGCGGTGGTGGCGGCTGATTGTATTGGTTGTAGCCACCGGCTGGTTGCTGTTGCCTATTGTCGTACTGATTATTATATTGGCCGCGTTGGTTGTACTGATTATTGGGATTGCCACCATAACCTCTTCCGCCATATTCGCCTTGTGCGCTGGGGAAGAGAGGATAGTAAAAGTTTTAGTATATATAGACAGAATGTGTTATAGTCGGAAGAAGTGATGGATATAATTGTACCAAAGGAGAAAATAGATGACAAGAAAAGGAAGTGAATGACATGAACTATAAAACAAGAACATACCCATATTGATTGTTGTAGCCATTGTCATAGCGACCAGCCCCGCTCTATTAATTATTGTAGAAAAACATTGTCGTTACTGCATCTTTGACTAATGAGGGCTCAATTTGCAATCTTATTCCCTGAATCCTTAATCCCTCTAACTACCCACTCCAACAAAACCTACGTTATAGTCTGTAATGCGGTCTCTGCTCATGGTTCTCGAGTATATTCTGTTTTTATAAGCAAGACCTTATATCTATATATATTATACGATAAATTTATAATTTGTCAAAGCACTACTTTGACAACAAACTTAGGGTATGTCTAAATGATTAATATTAAGTAAAGAATTCTTAAAAGGAGGGGGGGGAAAGGTTGGTTGGGTGGGAGAGAGGGATAGACGCAAAGGGTTTTAGAAAAAGTGTATACCAAATGATTGTTCGTATTGCTACAGTTATTATGCGTTGTACAATAAGGCAGACAAAATAGGAATGTAAGGCATTTAAAACTGCAGGACTCAAGACACAGCCTGGATACAGTGAAGCGGGATTTGACCGTGTTTGGCTATTTTTATTGCCATCAGGTACGAGTTTAGCCTATTGCTGCTAGGCTGGTATATTAATATGTGTACATTGCAAGCGTGAGAGAGTACTGTATCATGTTCTACAGGATTGATCATCAAACTTATACATCCTCTCTCCAACAGTTCATAATAACCAATGGAAAGGCTATTGGTAGTAGACATATTAATGTAGATGCATACTATAAACATGACGGATCGCAAATCAGTTGGAAAACGTGCGGTAAGCAGGTGCACATCAAGTAAAAAAAACTCGGCCGATCGATCAGAATTACGCTACACGTGATGATTGTACTGTCGTTGCTATTCAGAAGGCGTTGAATGGGATGGGAAAGCCGCATTCATAAAGAGGTCAATAGGAGAACTGTTCCGTAATAATGAATATTGAATTTGAAGCTAAATGGAGTGTGCTGCGACAAGGTGAAACCAGGAACTCATCGAATCAATCCCGAACGACTACCCGCCAAGAAACTTCCAATACCTTGACGGGCTGCGACACTTTATTATCCGAAGAAGGGAAGACGGATTTTTGTTTTTGATCGTATAACAAAGGAATTGAAATATAGTATCTTGTAAGCCAACCAATTCGAATTTGAAAAGAATTTGGGATCTCACGCATATACTGAATAAAATAATCTCAAGTCATGATCTATCTATACATGCCGTCATGCCTCAGGTCAATAACATAAATAGTTTTAGTAAATGAAAATTGTCTCGATTTCGACTGCCTTCCATATCTTGTCTATAGCGCTTCCCTTCCGACGTTGTCGCTATAAAAAAAGCCTTTCTAGTTTTAATCATAGGTAATGAAATGGTGCAGCAGACCATGAATCATCAATACTTCAACGCTCGATTCATCCAGTTGACGGTGGAATCGACAACACTCCAGAAAAAAGTCAAGTCTAATGCATATACACGAGAAAAGGGTTTCTGAAAGGGTTGATCAACGACCGATATGGGTCTAACTAAAAAGTTAATCCATGGATTACCTGTGCCTTAAAATAACAAACATCAGTTGTATAATTAAATTTCTCACACCAGCTACTGTATTTTGAGTTCACTTGTCTGCATTTGTTGTAGTACGTCCCAAATAATAACGTCATCCTACTAAGCAACAGACTGCCAAGCATAGTTTAAGAATATAGGACTAAGTGAATTGATAGATGCACTAACCATATATTAATATGTCATTTATAATGTAATCGTAATAAGACAATTAAGACCAAAAGTAAATTGTATCTTGGCGGTAGGTTGGCATACGCCCCATGGCAATAATGTTTGCAAAGAGAAACTTCTCCAACTTCGATTTTTAGATTTTATGTTGGGATAAGTGTCTTTAAAACGGGTCCATATTATTTCATCTCACCGACAGTACATTTCACCGACAATTAACTACCAAAAAAGGATAACTTCGAAATAATGTTGGTGAAGATTTGTCGGTGAAATGATTGTCGGTGAAATAATTGTCGACGAAATGATTGCCTCCCCTTTAAAACATATTTGTAAGAAACCACACTACTATACTAATAGCCATACCTATTAATATCTTCTTATGCTGAGATAAACCGATTCCAGCGAAGTGTAAAGTATACAGACTCCTCTACTTTCTACGCTTTTGTCTGCGCATTTTGGTTTTAATTTAAAGTGTGGCTATGTTCATTATTTGCGCATTGATATTCGATGACATGCATACGTCTTTTTATCAAAAGAATTTTTCTGGTACTCGCAACAAAACCGCGTGAACTCACTTGCAGTTGAGCGTTGTTTGACAGGTTCGGCGTTCTGACTGTAAAGCCCGATGAGATTCATCAGAAACAGCGACACACACGCTTTTGCCGACAATATGTTATTTTAAAACCCTCACTGATGGTCTTTTTCACAGTCTTAATATTGACATATTGTTACTATTTGCAGCCTTACGCTGGATTTAATTCTGTCAAATTTTCACAGGCTGGTTGGTGGCCAAGAGGGCTTTCATCTGAGTTATTTTGCTTGAGATTTTTGAGCAATCCTGTTATATGCTGTAATATTAAATATTATATGGGGCATGCTGCAACAAAACCGGACAAAGTACATTCCTAATGGCACACTGAGCATGGTATTCGATGGAATAAAGAAATTGAATAAAGGTGAAAAGCATTTGAAGATAACTTGTGATAATGCTGGTGGTCAGAATAAAAATAATGCCACTATTTGATTTTACCTGTATTTAGTAATTTGCGATTACTATGAAAGTATCGAATTAAATTTTATGATACCTGGACATACTAAATTCAGATGTGATGGTAGTTTTGGATTGATTAAGAAACTATATCGCAAAACGACCGTAGACTGTGTAAATCATATTGTTGAGGTTGTGAAAAAAATCAAGTACAGCAGGATTAAATAAGGCTCAGTGTTATGGCAACGGAAAAGGCTTTCAATATTTAGATCTTAACTCTGTGTTGGGGATTTTTTTTAAAAAACTAAATGGTCTACAAAAATATCAACATTTTCTATTTGAAGCAGCCAAACCTGGGGTTGTCAAAGCTCAGCTGGTCGCTAATGGTTCATATACTGAATTTAATTCGTTAAAAACTAGAAAGGCAAGTGTTTCTCAAATTACCAAAGAAATTAAATCTTTTTCTATTTTAGTTCTAACTCCGCCCCCTTTGGATTACAAAAGACAAGAATATCTTTATCATAATATTCGCCCATTTGTTAGAGACGAATTCAAGGATATTACTTGTCCCAAACCAATCTATACTGATAATGAATAAAAATATCTCAGTCAACCGCAAATTTTATTACTTTATTAGTTTTTGTTCGTTTCTATTAAATTCTTTATATTTAATCTTTTAATAGTAAAATAATAATATAGGAATTAAAATCATGACAAACCAAAACAATATTTTAACCGAAGAGGAAATAAAAGAACTAAT